TAGACATGCAGTCCAGACTTTGGATGTATTCCTATATCCTTGACCTGGAATTTGCTCTGTAGACCAGTCTGGCCTTGGACTCACAGAGTCCTGCCTCTGCCTCCTAAATGCTGGGATTAAAGGTATGTGGTACCTTGCCTGGCCATAATTTAATTTTTTCTTTTGTTTTTCTTTTCTTTTTTTGGTTTGGTTTTTTGAGACAGGGTTTCTCTGTGTAGCCCTGGATGTCCTGGAACTCACTCTGTAGACCAGGCTAGCCTCGAACTCTCGAACTCAGAAATCCACCTGCCTCTGTCTCCCAAGTGCTGGGATTAAAGGCGTGTGCCACCACTGCCCGGCTAAACTTGAAACCACCCAGCTTGTGACACATTTCAGACACACTAGAAGAGGGCATCAGATCCCATTACAGATGGTTGTGAGCCACCATGTGGTTGCTGGGAATTGAACTCAGGACCTCTGGAAGAGCAGTCAACGTTCTTAACTGCTGAGCCATCTCTCCAGCTCCTCCAGCTTTTCTTGTATTCCTAAAGACTCTGTATCTCTGACAATACGGCAGCCATCCAGACATGGAGGATATGAGCTCAAGAGACTTTCCGGCCCAGGGGAATCTCAATAACTCTGACCCCTGCACACAACAAATCCCTTCAGGGTAGCAGGTTAGACCAGTGAGCATGATTCCTTCCCAGGTTCTATGTGTCAGGAAGTCACAGGACCTTTGTGGCACATTTCTGGTTCAGGGACTTTTCTGAACCTGCTGTCTCCACATTGCCCAGGTCTGCTTCATGACTGCCTCTCTAACTCCAGCTCCAGGTACCCTCTTCTGAGCTCTTTAAACACTGCACACACGTGCACATGCACACACACACATAGACACAGACACAGACACACACACCATTCACACACATAATTAAAAATTTAAAATCAGGCTGGGCCGTGGTGGCGCACACCTTTAATCCCAGCACTTGAGAGGCAGAGGCAGGCGGATTTCTGAGTTTGAGAGTTCGAGGCTAGCCTGGTCTACAGAGTGAGTTCCAAGACAGCCAGGGCTACACAGAGAAACCTTGTCTCGAAAAAAAAAAAAATTAAAATCACCCATGGTCATTTGGACCATAAAATGAGTTACTAAGACTTGTTCCTGGTAAGAGGGAGGAGGTGGACCCTATATTTTGAAGAGGGGGGTTTCAAAGAATCTTGGGACATATTTTTAAGACATTACTCTTTGAAAGCTGTTGTCGTGGCACACATCCATAATCCCAGCACTCAGGAGGTAGAGGCAGACGGATCAGGAGCTCATGGCTCCATGGAGAGTTTGTGCTGTCTGGGCTCACAGCCTGGAGCTGGTTCACTAGCATATCAACACCACCTTGGAGCTACTTCAGTTTATCAAGGCCTATCCTGGGCTCGGCGCCTAACTGAGCCTGCCAGGGTCTTGCTTCTGAGGCCTATCTCTTATCATCGAGACCTGATGCCAAGCTCAGGTATCATGTGATTTCAAGTCCCATGAAATGGGCTTTAAGTTATGTCCTCACAGATGCACGGCACCACGCCTGGCTCAGCACAGACGCTGTTGAGGTGCTTCATGCTCTCTTGTTATCGTTCTCCTATTACACTCCCGGAGAACTCAGGGTTTACTTTATCTGGTGTTGGTGGAGAGGTTTACACAAGAAATCTTTTTAAAATTATTAGTTATTTTATTTTATTACATTTCAAATGTTGTCCCCCTTCCTGGTTTCCCCTTTGTAAGCCCCCTATCCCATCCCCTTCCCCCTTTGTCTCTGTGAAGGTGATCCACCTACTCCTGCCTCATTGTCCTAGCACCCCCCTGCACTGGGGCATCGAGCTTCCACAAGACCAAGGACCTCCCTCCTATTGATGCCAGATAAGGCAATCCTCTGCTACATAAGCAGAGGGATCTTGTGGCTTAATCTTCCCCTCATTGGTTCATTTCAGTTTTGTGTACACTCTGGGGTCCGCCAGCAGCCCCCACCCTCAGTTTCATGAACTGCAAGGGTCCGATGACCTGTCCAGGGTTACAAAAGACTCAAATCCAATGTGAGTACAGGAGGTGCGAACCTGTGCCCAGCCTGGGGAAGCTCTCCACTGACTAGGGCATCCTAAGCCAGTTCCCCTGACCCCCAAGCTTCCTCAATAGATATGCATCTGCTGAGAGCCTGCCAGGCGCCAGGCGCCAGGTCAGAGCAGGGAGTGTTCTGATGGAAAAATACCAGTCTAAGCCTGAGCTGTGTGCAATCCCAGCAGGGATGAGGGTGAAGAAGAGGCCCCGGAGCCATGCAGGAAGACACTGGCAGATGCTGCAGACAGAGATGAGACAGGAAGAGTTAGCTCCAGGAGTGGGGAACATTCCTGTAGGTACAGGGAGGAAGAGCTCGGCAGCCATGTGACACACCTATGATTGAGAGGAGGAATTGGAGAGGAGCCCATTGGAAGGGGTTGGAGCTGACGGGGTCACAAAGGCTTCAACAGGGACTGAGCCCGCAGAGGCTGGGGATGTGGCTCAGCCGCAGAGTGCACCCCCAAGGAGTAAAATTGGGATAGACACCCAACTGAGTGCATGCTTGGTGATCTCAGCTACTTACCACTCTCTCAGAGTTACTAGCCCTCCCTACCTCTGGCCACAGTACCTCAGAGGTAGCCCCATAAACTGTGGCTTTTCTCCCTCCCTCCCTTCATTCTTTTTTTTTTTTTTTTTCAAGACAGGGTTTCTCTGTGTAGTCCTGGCTGTCCTGGAACTCACTCTGTAGACCAGGCTGGCCTCGAACTCAGAAATCCGCCTGCCTCTGCCTCCCAAGTGCTGGGATTAAAGGCGTGCGCCACCACCGCCCAGCTCATTCTTTTCTTTCTTTGTTTTATTTTGGTTTCTGCCTGGCCTTTGAGGGTTATCTTAAATACTACTTTGACCAGATGTGTGTGGTGGTGTACAACTTTAACCCCAGCACTCAGGAGGCAGAGGCAGGCAGATTTCTGAGTTCGAGGCCAGCTTGGTTTACAGAGTGAGTTCCAGGACAGCCAGGACTATACAGAAAAACCCTCTCGAAAAAACAAAACAAAACAAAACAAAACACAACAGCAGCAGCAACAGCAACAACAATGCTACTTTGAGGGCTACAGAGATGGTTTGACATTTAAGAGACTTACTGCTCTTGCAAAAGACCTGGGTTCAATTCCTAGCAGCCGTCTGTAGCTCCAGTTCCACGAGATCTGATGCCCTCTTCTGGCCTCCTCAGCATCAGGCATGAACGTAGTACACAGACATACATGAAGTCAAAACACTCATGCACAAAATAATAAAATAGTCAAAAGAAACACGACTTTGTTTTATTTATCCATTCAGCCATCCATTCGTCTGAGATAGGGTCTCCTGAAGCAGGCTGGCCTTGAATTTCTGATGTAGCTAAGGATAACTTCTGATCCTTCTGCCTTCATCCCCAAGTACTGGGATTACTAATGTGCCAACAGTCCCATACATCAGATTCAGGGGGTCAAACCCAAGGCTTCATATACGCTAGGCAAGCACTCTACCAATTGTACTATACCCATAATCTCTAGAAACTGGTGTCGATTGGTTCAAGGTTTGTGACTTTGTATTTAACTCTTACCTTTCATTATCAGGAAGGCCATAAGCCTCAGATATTATATGGGTGTGCAGCGGCACTGAGACTAAACCATGGTGTTGTGTGACCTTGCTGCCACCTGGTGGCTAAATTCCTGCAGTCCAGCCCAGTGCTTCCTGCTACTAGTGTGAAAATCAGTAAGGTTTTTTCTGTTCTGTTTTTCTGTTGGACAGACTTATAATGTGAGCCAGGTTGGCTGCAGTCTCATGTTAATACCCCACCTCAGCCTCTCAAATATTGAGATTTCAGCTATGAGCCATGATACCCAGTTCAATGGGACTTTACACACACACACACACACACACATTTATTTTGCTTTTGTTTTGAGATAGGGTTTCTCTGTGTGGCTCCGACTGTTCTGGATTTCATTCTGTAGACCAGTCTAGCCTCAAACTCAGAAATCTGCCTGCTTCTGCTTCCCTAGTGCAGGGGCTAACAGCGTGTTTTTTAATGGGTGTTTGTGAGTACCTGAGTGTATGTATGTGCACCATGTGCATGTAAGAGCCTGGAGAGGCCAGGAGGTGTCAAGTCCCCTGAAACTGGAGTTATAGACAGCTGTGAGCCACCACATGAGTGCTGGAACCAAACCCAAGTCCTTTGTGAGACCAGTAAGCATAACTGCTAAACCATCTCTACAGTCCTGTTTGGTGTTTCTTGCTTGCTTGTTTGTTTATTGAGACGGAGTCTCTCTGTATAGCCTTGGCTGGAACTTGCAGAGATCTGCCTCAGCCTCCAAGTGCTGAGATTACGGGTGTTTGCTACCAGGCCTAGCTTCAAACTGTTTTTTCTTAAAGGCTCTGTCAGTCCTCCATTCCATTCTTATGATGTCACAGGTCACTTGACTTAAGCCAAATCAATGGAGATTTCGGTTCGAAAAATTAGTAAACATATCAGGAAGAAAAAGCACCCATTTTACTCTCTATGCACTCTCCCTTCAGTGACCTGCTCTCCTGTTGCCTACTTTGGATCCTCGGCCTGGAAATCCGTATTAGTCAGCTTTTCACCCTGGGACCACCAAAATGTCACAAGCTCAAGAAAACAGGGGTATCCCCGTGACTGACAATCATAACAGCTATAATAACCACATTCCCTACGAAAGCCTTAGATCAGGACGAACCAAGGCAGAGCAGGATGGAGAAGCTGAGGTGGAGCAGGAAGGACACAAGTGTCAGTCACTGCAAGATACAGACAAACAACGCCTCCTGGCCAGCGGGAAAAAAAGGGACAAACAAACATCGCGGAGCTTAGCAGGATAGGCGGCTCCTGAAACAGCCGCAGTTCGAGGCCGGGAATGAAACGCAGCGGGCGCGTTCTGCGCAGCCGCAATGGGAGGGCCGGCGCGTGCGCGGTGAGGGCGGGGCTGGGCGGACCTCGCGTAAGCGCGCGCTGGGCAAAGCGTTTGGCGGGTTTTTCCTGGCTGTGCTTTTCTCTGAGAAGCTAAGGGGTAGCTTTCGCAAGCAAGTTTTCTATCTGGATCGATACTTCTCTAGGGTATTTGAAGTATTTCTTTGTGACCTGGTGGCTGGGGTCGTCTGAGGGCTTAGGCCAGGTAGTCCCGTGACGCGTCCCTGTCACCTTCCCGCAAAGCGAAAGGATAAGTAAGCTTCTGCAGGGCAGACTTGACCTGAGGTCGGAGCCCGGCGGCAGGCGCCCGGCCGCTCCCGGGTCACCATGGCCGTGTCCACCCAGCAGCTGGCGGAGGAGCTACAGATCTTCGGCCTGGACTGCGAGGATTCCCTGATGGAGAAACGTGAGTCCCGAACCGAGGGGATCGCTTCCAAGTTCCATGTGCTCGTGGGGAACCGCTTGGGTCCTGACTAAACAACAGGTGACATTTCCAAAAGGAGACATTGGAACCGTTTGCAGCTCACACCTAGTCATCTGTTGCTCAATGACTGTTCTCATCAGAGTTGTTTGTTTTGTTTTGTTTTTTAAAGACAAGAGGCTCTCTGTGTAACCCCAGAACTCATTATGTAGACTACTGTGCTGGCCTTGAACTCACAGAGATCGCCTGCCTCTGCTTCCCGAGTGCTAGGATTAAAGATGTATATCACCAATGCCCGGTTCGTCAGAGTTTTTAGTGGTCTGTGCAAATAGGAATTCCTCCAGGCGGATTCCCTAGTCCTTTGTTTTAGCTTTGGAAGAAACTTCAGGGAGCTTATTGGCTTCCTCTCTTTATAGATGGAGGAACATAGGCAAGGAGACTTAATTGCCTGATTGTGTGTCAACCCCCATCTCTTGCTCTGGAGTCCAGTGCCTCATCTTATTGGTCCACAGAGACCAGTGGTAAAGATTTAAATTACACATCTCTCCTGGAAGATGTGTGCATCAGTTTCAGATACACTGTGTGTACACCTTGAAATTCTTTTTTTTTTTTTTTTTTTTTGTTGTTGTTGTTGTTTTTTGAGACAGGGTTTCTCTATGTAGTCCTGGCAGTCCTGGAACTCTCTGTAGACCAGGCTGGCCTCGAACTCAGAAATCCACCTGCCTCTGCCTCCCAAGTGCTGGGATTTAAGGCGTGCACCACCACTGCCCGGCGAAATTCTTATTGTAGGAAATAAAATAGTATAAGTGGGCTTGCCGGTTACTGCAACACTTGGGAGCCTGAGGCCAGGAGGATCATAGATAGGTCAAGGCTAGCTAGAGCTAAACAGTGAGATCCTGTCTGCTTTGCTCACTACTCTGTAACTCCAATATCTGACACCTTCACACAGATATACATGCAGGCAGAACACTAATGCACATAAAATAATAATAAATTATGTTTTAAAAAAAGAGTTTGAAATCTTTTGAAGATTCTGTGCTTTGGGGCTGGAGAGATGACTCGGTGATTAAGAGCAGTTACTGCTCTTCCAGAGGATCGATACTCACTTCCCTGCGCCCAAGGGATCTGCAACTCCCATTCCAGAGGTTCCGGTGCCCCCTTCTGGCCACCTCAGGCACTGCATGCATGTTGTGCACTTCAATGCAAGCAAAATACTCATGCATGTAAATAAAGTTTAGATGTTTTTAGGAAAAAAAATGTGTCCCTATGAAGGTAAGAAGTGTGCTTCCTGCTTTTTGTTGTTGTTTCTGTTGAGCTAAGGTCTCGTGATGAAGCTGGAGGCAAGTGCCACCACAGCTGGCAGGGGTGTGTCTTGCCTAAAGTGCTTTGCTGACCCCACACCTGAGCTATCCTCTTCCTGATTACAACAGGACTCTTCAGGAGGGTTGTCCATACTTGAAATCTTAAGTTTTCTTTCTTTTTTTTTTTTTTTAAATATTTCATTTATTTATTATATATATGTATGTGAGTACACTGTCGCTGTCTTCAGACACACCGGAAGAGGGCATCAGATCCCATTACAGATGGTTGTGAGCCACCATGTGGTTGTTGGGAATTGAACTCAGAACCTCTGGAAGAGCAGTCAGTGCTCTTAATCACTGAGCCATCTCTCCAGCACTGTTAAGTTTTCTTTCTTAAGGCCTTTCTGTGGCTTTTTTGTCTTCCCAGATTTAGGAACCTGCTGTTGTCAGGTTAACTGATGACCTTTGTCTTGCCAAAACCAGGGCTGAATTATCAGTCCTTATTTTGAATTATCAGTAGCATTCGCCACTGTTTATCCTCGTCTCTTCGTTAAAACCTATTCTTTTAAAAAATAGGTTTACTTATGTAACCTATGAGTTTACTTATGTAAACTTATGAGTGAGTGTTCGTCTGGAATATACAAGTGTACCACACGCAGGCAGAGCCCTCAAAAGCTGCAAGAGGGAGTCAGATCCTCGGGAAGTAGAGTGACTGCGGCATGTGTGTGCTGTGAGGAGCACATGCCTGCTGTGGATTCACTGCCACCACTCCTAGGTTTTCTTGGAGTTTGCTCACCACCGTTTCTCAGCCTTTGACGATCAATCGATCATTTTTATCTCCATGTGAATGGCCAGGACTCAGAACCAGAATCACTTACTGCTAGATGCATCACTATGGTGACACTCGTCTTCCCAATCACTCCTTAGCTTATATATTGAGGCTGGGTCTCTTGCAGCACCCAATCAGTGTTTCAACTAATCTGGCTGGTTTGCTCAGGCATTCCCAGTCTCTGCCTTCTGCACACCAGGGCTCACAGGCGCGCCACCATGCCCACTGCACTTCTGTCTTCACGGTGGTGTGGCAAGCATTTTACTTCCCAGGGCCTTTCTTTCTTTTGTAAAGGTCTCACTATGTCGCCCTGGCTATTATTTTAAATTGCCAACCTCTCCTTAGTTCTCTGATCCATTCCCACACCCACTTCATTTTCCTGTGGCACCCATGAGTGTCTAGGGTACTGTATGCTTCCTTGTTCTCTCTACCCTGATAGTTGTGACCATCTGTGAATAAGAGCTCTTCTTGATTTTGCTGACTGCTGTGTTCCCAGGGCCCGTGGATTCTGGATCGCAGAGGACTGTTTGTCCTCTCGAAGTGAAAGCTGTAAGAGTGAGCTAGGTTCTTACGTGTCCGACTTCTCCCCCTGCAGTGGCAGAGCTCTGTGTTCTGTACCGACAGACTGAGGAGGGAATGGTCAGCGAGCTTATTGCCTTCTGCACCAGCACAGGGAAGTCCTGCCTCACTGCACAGATCCTGAACTCTTTTGAACACGAGGTAATAGCAAATGCGAGTTAACTGGTGTCATCCTGCTGCATGGAGGTGTCAGTGGATGAAAAGATGCAAGCCTTGGGGTCCCAGTGTGAGCATGGCCTGCTCCTTCCTTTCTTTCCTTCGTTTCTTTCTATCATAATATAAAGCTTTTTGGGTTTTCTACATTTAGTTATTGTGTGTGTGCGTGTGTATATATGTGTGTGTGTGTATGCACACCTGTGCTACAGAGGTGAGAGGACGACTATAAAAAATTGCTGGGTGCTGGTGGTGCACACCTTTGATCCCAGCGCTCAGGAGGCAGGGGCAGGTGGATCTCTGTGAGTTTGAGGACAACCTAGTCTATAGAGTTTCAGGACAGCCAGGGCTACATAGTGAGACCTTGTCTTAAAAACAGAAAAGTGGTTCTCTATTTCCACCACGTGGGTTCAAACTCAGACTGGTAGGCTTAGCAGAAAGTGTCTTTCTCCACTGAGCCATATCACTGGACCCTACTTACTATTTCCAAGCCTTGGTTTTTTTCTTCTGTTAAGTTCTAATAACTGTTGTTTTTAATGATTGTTGTAAAAGTTAAATGAGAGGGGCTGGAGAGATGGCTCAGTGGTTAAGAGCACTGACTGCTCTTCCAGAGGTCCTGAGTTCAATTCCTAGCAACCTTGTGGTGGCTCACAACCATCTGTAATGGATTCGGATGCCCTCTTCTGGTGTGTCTGAAGACAGTGACAGTGTACTTGTATACATTAAATGAATGAATGAATGAATGAATAAATCTTTTTTTTTTTTAGTTATTTATTTTTATTCTTAATATTTATTTATTTTATGTATATAAATACATTGTAGCTGTATTCCAACACACCAGAAGAGAGCATCTGATCCCTTTACAGATGGTTGTGAGCCACCATGTGGTTGCTGGGAATTGAACTCAGGACCTCTGGAACAAAAGTCAGTGTTCCTAACCACTGAGCCATCTCTCCAGTCCCCGAGTAAATCTTTTTTAAAAATTTTAAATGAGAGTGAGTGTTTGTGAAGCATCTAAAACTACCTGGTATATGGTTGGTTTGAAGTTAGTATTATGTGTTGTTGATAGACGGCTATGAAGAGGATTTTTAATATTTATTTTTAAAAATATTTATTTTTATTATTAGTCTGATTATGTGTATGTGTGCATATGAGTGCATGAGTGCAGGTACCTGCAGAGGCCAGAGGTGTCAGATCCCCAGGAGCTGGAGTTACAGGGAGTGTGAGCTGCCTGATGGGGTGCTGGGAATCGAACTCAGATCTTCTGGAAGAGCATTGTGTCATCTTAACCACTGATCCATCTCTCCAGCTCCTATAGAAGTTTTTTGTGTGTGTGGGGGGGGGAATTGATCGTGATCCTCCTTCTGCCTCCCAAATGCTAGGATGATAGACATTCTCCACAATACCCAGACTGTCATGTTTTTGTTGTTTTTAGAGACAGGGTCTCACTATGTAGATCAGGCTGGCCTTGAACTCAGAGATCCACCTGTTTCTGCTTTGCATCGGGAGTAGAGTGATGCTGGAATTGAACAGGGCTTCTTGCATGCCTGGTAACTGCTCTACCAACTAGCCTTTCTTTGCTTACATCCTGAATGCCTGTGATTATTTCAAATGGGAAGTGCACCTCTGCCACCCTGCCCCCGCTCCCCCCACACCCCCCGACTGTGAAATAACATATTCACCATCTTCTTCTGTTCCATTCCTCAGGTTCTGAACAAAAAACTTTCCAAAGCCTGGCACAGTGCTTCCAAAGACAGCGGGCACGCAGGAGCCAGAGACATCGTCTCCATACAGGAGCTGTATCCTTCTCTGCTGAAGGCCTTTGGGCTGAGCCACACGTGTGTGTTGTGTAATTTCTCAGGTTGCATATACACTTTAAAAACAAACTTTTAAAAATGCCTGACATTCAGTTTCTCATTTAATCTCATGTAGTTGTTCTCCTTGACCAGTGTTTTCAGAATTGAAGCAAAGGAGGAAGAGGAGACCCTTCTGAGTGCTTACACCACACCCTCTAAGGTGAACATGCGGCATCCGGGAGTTGCAGCCTACAAATACTTTTTTTTTTTTTTTTTTTTTTTTAAGATTTATTCATGAGGCTGGAGAGATGGCTCAGTGGTTAAGAGCACTGACTGCTCTTCCAGAGGTCCTGAGTTCAATTCCCAGCAACTACTAGTGGCTCACAACCATCTGTGATGGGACCTGATACCCTCTTCTGGTGTGTCTGAAAATAGCTATAGTGTACTAATTTACATTAAATAAATAATATTTTAAAATTACTTATTAAAAAAAGATTATTTATTTTATGTATGTAAGTGCACTGTCATTCTCTTCAGACACACCGGAAGAGGGCATCAGATCCCATTACAGATGGTTGTGAGTCACCATGTGATTGCTGGGAATTGAACTCAGGGCCTCTGAAAAAGCAGTCAGTGCTCTTAACCGATGAGCCACCTCTCCAGCCCACAAATAACATTCTTAAAAACATATCACAGAGCTGAGCGTGGTGGCACACTCCTTTAGTCCCAGCATTTGGGAAGTAGTGGCTGGTGGATATCTGTGAGATCCAGGACAGCCTGGTCTCACCAAACAAGGTTCCCGTTGTGAGTTAGCATATGTGAAGGGAGGGTGTGTCTGGACTGGTCCCTCCTCGGCCTTGTGTCCCCACTCTGCCTCACTTGTTATCTCGCTTGGTCTTTAGGGAGACCCTGCCTGTCTGAAGTAGCAGGCTCCTGCCTCTTCCTCTTGGATCTTAATTTTGGTTCATTCCTCTCCGTTACAGACGCTCTCAGGGTGTGGGCGCTGCTTCCGTCACTGTTCTTTCCCAAGGGCCTAGCCCGTGATCGCTGCAGAATTAGTATTCTAGAGGAATCTTTTTGAGAAATGGCTGGAGAAACCCTAAAGTCAAGTTTATCCTTTGTCTTAACCATTCTTCCTGTGAAAGGTCTCCTGAGATCTAGGACTACAGCCCAGTGGGTACATGTTTAGTGTCTACAGGGCCCTGCAGTCTGTTCCCAACCACCTCCTAAAAACGTCCAAGGAAATGATGCAGGTCACACACTCATGCATGATGGTGGACATACAACTGTTAATAATAACAAAATTAAAAATGATATGCTCTAGCAGTAGACGAGGAGGCATAGAGATTATTCATGACTTCAGTCAGATAACTTGGGGATTAAGGATAAAGCTTGTACTAGTGTAGGAAAATGCATATAGAATTTAAAAAATCAGTATGTAAAAAGCTGTAAGTTTGCATTTAAATTAGGATAACAATTTTAGTGTATATATTTAGTTGGAAGATATTAAGATACAGTTAAGGAATGTTCAAGAATGGTTATTTTAATCAGATGTAGTGGTCCATGCCTTTAATCCCAGGACTTGGGAAGCAGAGGTATGAGGATCTCTGTGAATTCAAGGGTAGCCTGGTCTACATAGTTCCAGGACAGCCAGGATTTCACAGAGAGACTCTGTCTTTAAAAAAAAGTGATTGTAGAGGAGCATCAGTGTGTAAAGCTGTCATTTTAGAGGACCTGCCTTCCATCCCTGAACTGGTGGACGGTGGATGGAGTAACCCAGCTGTGGTGGAGGCACATCAGGAGTTGGGGGCCAGCCTGAGCTACATAGTGAGTTCAGGGCCAGTGTGGGCCTTAATACCTGAGACTGTCTCAAACAAAAAGCAACACAGGCTGGAGAGCTATCTCGTCAGTTACTCGATCTCGCTGCTCTTTCAGGGGACTCAAGTTCTGAGTACCCAGATCAGACAGTTCACAGCTGCATGTGACTCCAACTCCAGGGGTCCTGATGGCTCTTCGGACTTCCCCAAGTCCCTTCACCTGCATGCACACACTCACACAAGTACACATGAATAGAATCTTAAGTAAATAAAACCACCAATATTTAGTTTCCAGTGCAACTTCATTCGTTTTTTTGAGTCAGGGTGTCAGTGTGTAGCCAAGGCTGGCCCAGAGTAACCTTTGCACTGCAGCTCCCAGAAGCTAGGACTACAAGTTTGCGCCATCATGCCTATCTTAGTGATGATTCTGAGTCTGTTCTCACCTTAGGTCCCACAGGCTCTACCAGTTGATAGCTTGGTGACATTTCCTTAAGTGCACCAACAGGGGGTGCCCTTGAGTCAGAAAAGTTTGTAGATCTGAGATGTGGTTGTCCTGGGCAAGACATTGTCTTTCCTGTTCACCTCCCACTATCCTAGGCTTTCGGGAATGTTAAGTCCTGTGATTGGGTTTCAGCCTTAATTCTGGACTTATTTGGCTTTGTATTGATGAGCAAAGGAAAAGAAAAGAAACAGTAAAACAAAACAAAAAACCCCAACCAGATGTGAGCATTAGTGAGGTGTTTGCTGACTACTCTCTCCAAGTATGAGCTCAAGCGCCTTATCTGCCTGGAGTTAGTCCAGGGTTTAATTGGGAAAATGTGTGGTAGACTTGGCCAAAAGAAATGTAACGTGGTCCCATCCCTTCTCAGGAGAGTGCGTGCACACAGGTCAAAGTTAAGCATTGCCAAACTCTGGTCTTTTCTACAAGCAGGGGGGGGAGGAGAAGATGCGTGTGTGCGTTGGCAGGTCGGGTGGCTGGCCTGCCCGCTCCTTTGGAGAATGTTTGCATTCTTTTCATGACGGCCTTCAGAGTGCAGCTGGTGTCCCGGTGGATGCTAGGTTGTCGTTGGAGGTGTGGGAGCACGGCTGGAGGTGGTTCCTGAGGCTCCTCGGTCCTGCCTGTGTGTCCCTTACTGTGCCACAGTCCTTTCTAAGGAACTTCAGAGCTCTGCACTTAATTAGCAACTTGAAGCCAGAGTGAATAGGATTTCACTTTTCATCTTGTTTCTAGGGTCCTCACAAGCGAGTTAGCAGCACCCCAGAAACCCCCCTAACCAAAAGGAGTATCTCCACTCGCAGCCCACATCAGCTTCTCTCACCATCAAGTTTCTCCCCGAGGTATGTATCGTAATCGATCCGGGCGCCAAAAAGCCACGCCTCTTTCTCTGCTGACACGTCTAACTGCTAGTAACTTATTAACTGCCATGGGAGTGGGCCATCTGCTTCGAGCTGGCTGGAGAGCCTGAGGTTCTCTGCCTTGTGGAAAATTACCATTTCGTACAATAATTAAGGAAACTTGCTTTCCACTCACTTCTCTAGGGCTCATTTCCTAGATAGGGAACTGATATCACCTTTTGAAAACAGCCCGGCTATTCAGAAGCCCAGGCGTCTGGCGCGTCTGGCCAGTCAAGGCAAATAGGCTCTCACCTGCTTCTACTTGCTTATGTTTACTTGGATTTCTTTTTGTAATCTGAAGTTGTTTTTTTTTGAAAGGAAAAGCATGTGTCTTTGTTTGCAGCATTGCATAACCTGTTCATCCCATGCTCAGGTGACAGCTGGTTTCTGAGCATTTTCTTCTCGTCACTGAATCTTTCTTCAGCAACTTAATTGATGTTTCCTCATGGCTGCAGCCACTATGCATAAGTCTGCAGAAATCCACAAATGATGGGTCTCTGTTAGAGAGACCCACAGATGAGTGCTTGGCTGACGTGTCTGTAGGGCTGTCCCATCAGGATGGGGCTCAAACAGCAATTCAGCTGTTTAGGGAAATACTCAAACATCTGGATCCCTTCGAAACCAACCAGAATATAGGTTTCTCAGTTCTGCCTTTTCAGAGAGGCAGTGACGGGCTAGAGAGGCGGGAGTACTCGCTGCTCTTGCAGAGAATACAGGTGTGGTTCTCAGCCTCCACTTTTTGTCTCTACCCATTCTTCATGGGATCCAAAAGCTCTTCTGGCCTCTGCAAATACCAGGCATACAAATGGTGCACACACATATACACAGGTGGAATGTTCGATACACATACAGTACACATCTCCAGAAGCAGAGAGGCAGGATAGAGGCTCTGCAGCATTCGCCATCAGTGCTCATTGAGTCGTGAAGGGAGTTTGGTTTCTCTGTGGTCCACCTGGCTTGGAGAGAGCCCAAAACTGCTTTCAGAATGGACTTTGTAGACTTGAAAGGGTGTCTCTCAAACCCGCGAGAGTTCAAATAGCTATTGCAGAGCAAGTGGGAGTTATGCTCTCTAAGCCAGAAGCCCTTTAAATCTGTTTCTATGACCATGTTTACAGCTGTCCCTTGTGAGCGTCTGATGACAGTAGACGGCTGTCCCTTGATGGGTTGAGCTCAGAGAAGCTGGTGACTTCTCTGCCTGGTCACTTTTTTTAAGTGTACAGTAAGAAAGCTGACATCAGAAACTCATTCTGTAATTTATTAAAGTAGCCTGTAAATTATTTAGGTTGAGGCAACCAGGGAGATAAATACGATTGAGCTCCTTTTCTGTAACCTGTCTGGAACGAGGTGGAGTTGGCAGTAGTTCTGACCATGCCCTCTGTAAAGTGAGTTCCTGCCGAGCGTTGGGGTGCTGAGTGAGGTGTGTTTCTAGACCTCCCATAAGCAGTGTTCACAGCAGGAGGATTAGAAGTTTCCAAGTGGACCAGCAACACCCATGTGTCCTTGGAGGTGTGATTTACAGTCGTAACGAGCACAGAATTCATCGGTGCAGCCGTGGGGTGGGTTGAGGGGGTCTTGCTCCCCGATAGCTGTTTGTTCATTGCATTCCCACCTCTCAGAGGCAAGGGAAAGAGTCAGTAACTTTGTGGAACTTTTATTTTAATGCTGTTTATGCTTTGAACTGTGAGGTTTTAGTTTTTGTTTTGAGGTAGGGTCTTATATAGTCGAGAATGTCCTGAAACATGGCTGGGGATGGCCTGAGATCCTGTCCTGCCTTTGCCCTCTGAGTGCTAGGATTGCAGACCTTGACACTGTGCCTGGCTTCAAGTGTATTGTCAGCTTTTGTATTTGCTCAGCAGTCTCTGCCCCAGTCACTGTTTCAGGATCAAATGACAGAGAGTGACTCACAAGGAAGGAAAGTACTTGAAACTTGATGTTCAATCAAGTCAAAGTGCATTTTGTCTTACTTCATTTAGGTTTTTTGTTTGTTTGTTTTCTTTTTTTTTTTTTTTTTTTTTTTTTT